ATAATCTTGAATTTACTAGATGTTTTAGTTGCCTGATTGAATGTGAACACGTCTAAAATAAAATGAACTAATTCATTATTGAAATCTCTCAGCATACATTATCCTTTCTTTATCTGGTTATTCATATAACTCCGATACACGACTGCCTGTTCTCAAACTGTTTGAAAGGCGGTTGCATAACGCGCATTGTTTCGCTTACTCACTGATGACAGTCAGAGGAAATGTCCAAAAATGCTTATATAATAGCTGGAGAAATTTCGAAATATAGCGATATTAAAAGGGAATAAAGAGTATTGTCAAACAAATATCAACAATAAGAAGATGCAGAGAAAGTTTGTAGTGACTTTGAATAATCTTTGAAGATATACACTTAAGCACTTAAACTTGCTTCGTTTCTTACCTATCGTAAGGAAAAAGCAACCTTCAGAGAACGTAAGTCGCCAGAAGTGTAGGCTGCCGTATATAATAAATTCAGCATTTGTAGCCCTGTGTTCGTATGCATGTAAACTTTCTTTATGTGTCATCCTATTTCACTCCGTGTCCGTTTCACTGGAATTCTCTCGATATCATTTTCACATACTTATTTCTTCTGAAGTTTTCTCCCATTTCAAGACGAACTATATACATTCTTATTGAAAAGAAAGTGTCATAAAAAATGAAAGATCAATAGATGAGCACACATAAAATATAATATTTATCTACAATGACGCAGTTCCACCGATCAGCATCAAATGTTTACGGACAATGAATGACCCTGTACAAAAAGCATCATTCAAAACGACTGTCACATGATGCAATGTAATTCATAACTTGAGGAAAAAAAGAGTCAGATTATATATGGAGGACCAGAGACGAGTGACTGCCAAACTTGGCGAGGCCTAAAGATAATTTCGTTAGATGGTTAGATAGAGGTATGATAAGGCGTACATTTAAGTCGAGTACCCATATGCACACACACACACACACACACACACACACACACACACACACACACACACACACACACACACACACACACACACACACACACACACACACACACACACACACACACACACACACACACACACACACACACACACACACACACACACACACACACACTCATTTTGGCATATCCATTATTGTCATAGCCAGAAACAAACATAAACAAAAACAAAAGTCTGAGATTACCATCCTGTTACAGTTTCTCGTCGTCGGTTTCGGCATTACGAAGCATTCTACGGTGAACTTGCATGTTTAAGAGAGAGTAAAAGAAAACCCCGTCTCATAAGCCAATACATGACAAGTAATATGAAAAAAGTATTCATTATATAAACTGGTTTCAGAACTAGCGCAAGTAATGAAGGATTATTTCCGAACTAAAAAGAAATCGTCTGACAGGGCTCTTTCACACCAAATGCCACGGAGACGGAAAATAATCATTACTCTACTGCTAATAATATGCATCTTTATTTTTGTATCTTATTACTTTTTTTAATAGTATCTGAATATGTGTACACTACTTAGTTGTTTAAATGAGCAGAAAAAATAAAAGTATAAACAATAGTTATTATAAGGCATAACGATAATATTCACAGTTCTAAAGAAAACTGTTAATAATTGTAATAGTATCAAATAATAAAATGATGTGTGTCATGGTAATTTCAGTGGTGCTCACAATATATTAAGAACTAGAAATGATAAGACGATAATAGTAAAGGAAAGGGATAATGAGGATAATGTTTATGATAAAGGTAATGGATAACCGGTGACAATAATAATGTTTTAATTATTATAACAATATTTATTACTAATAATCATAATTTCAATTTTAACAATAAAACTAGTGATACAGATATTAACATCGATGATGGCAGGGACAATAATGGATTTAACAAAACAAATGACAAACAGTAACAAGAGACACATCAAGAATTTTATAAGAATAGAAAGTTCAAATCCTGTGTTCCAATCTCTACTGATTATCTACCAAGGTGATTGAGGTTCTTCCTGTAAACTTGTTTTATTATCGTTCATTATCATTCATTCCTTATTTCTTGTTCTTTCTAGAAAGGACTTGTAAAATAATATTCACTCTAGTATACGAAGATTAAATAGATTATATGAAAATTATGACACACACTTATATATATATATATATATATATATATATATATATATATATATATATATATATATATATATATATATATATATATATATATATATATATATATATATATATATATATATATATATATATATATATATATATATATATATTATATATATAATATATATATATATATATATATATATATATATATATATATATATATATATTATATATATATATATATATATATAGATATATATAGATAGATAGATAGATAGATAGATAGATAGATAGATAGATAGATAGATAGATAGATAGATAGATGTATATAATATATATATATATATATATATATATATATATGTATATATATATATATATATATATATATATATATATATA